TTGCCTGCCTGTCTACCATTTTGGTTCATCAGCCCTACAGTTATGTGAGTCAGAAACCTCCAACCTGACATCTGACCAATGGATTTGGGACTTGCCCACATCTACAACAATGTGAGCAATTTCTTTGGTATAAACTTCTCTTTTTGTATACATATATAGGCTTCACTAATTTTGCTTCTCTAGAAAACCCAGCTTAAGGTGCTCAATAACATGAATGACTTTCACGTGTGTTGAGCAAAAGATGCCAAACACATACTGTGTGGTTCTATTTATATGACTTCAAGCTCAGGAAAAACTAATTAATGGTAAGAATAGGTGTATTTCTGGTAGAGGAATTACATTTGGGATTATGGAAATGTTTTTTACCTTGATTTGGGTGGTAGTCACAGGGATGTATCTGTAAAATGAATCCAACAGTGTACTTAAGGTTTAAGCACCTTCTTTATCCTATGTATGCATTCCATGCCACAATAAATCATAAATGGAACAAAAAAATAAAAGATGAAGCTTAAGAGCAACTATTATTCACACCCAACAGCCATCTCCTTACTTTATCTGCTTGGCAAATCAGACTTTATACTCTTTGCTCTTAATTGGACTAGTGGTTCTCCAAGTGCAGTGCCCAAACCACCATCATCATTATTATTTAGGAACATGTTTAAAAATGCAAATTCTCAGATACCAGCCCAAATCTATGGAATCTTAGTCTTTGGGAGCAGTGCCAAGGAGCCTGCTTTTTAACAAGTCTTCCAGGTGATTATGATGCATTTTAAAGCTTGAGAAACACTGCTCTAGACTGTATATGAGGGGGTTTCAAAAATTTGTGGGAAAATCCCATTATCATTTAATTCCATTTTTCCATGAATCTGTGTAGCCTCCTTGGACATTAAATAACATACAAGAAAACCAGGCTTATCCATATTATACTATCCATTACTCATCCCAGTCCCCTCACATTTCAAGAAAACATGTTCCTTGGATTACTCAAAGAACTCTTACCAAGTTCAAGCAACAAAAGTCTCAGAAAGGGATGTACAACTCATACACCCCATCTGTGTTTCAACCCTCAGGTAGTTTGAGTTTTAGCATTATTACAGCTGGTATTGTTATAATTGTTTAGTATTGTTATGATTGTTTAGTATTATTACAGCAAATAACTTTATGTATTCCTGATTTTGGAAAAATCATAAATACATCATAAATCCTTCAGATATACTTCAACTTGGAACAAATCAATGGCAATCTATACTCATAGGTCATTGTACTGTTAGTTACCCTCTGATCACTGTGACTCATGGCAGCAAGTGACCTTATGTAAAATAGAACAATATATTGTCCAGTAGTAGTTGGTATGTTTGAGCTCATTGTCAATTAATTTCAATATAATTATGACTCAGGAGTTTATAAAAGTACCTAGAAATCCACAAATTAAGAACCCTCATCCTCTTTCTCACCTTAACTTGAATACAAATTACACTGAACACCATTTACAACATTTTTGGGTCTCTGTTTTCTGGAGAAGTTATTCACTTTTTAGCAATGCATGACCAACTCATACAAATATTGCCACTAGGGTTTCAATTCATATGCACATGAGTTTATTCCAAACAAACAAGTTTGAACATGTCTCTACAATCAGTGGATGGCTGCATACAAGTTCTCTCAGGAATGTATTTTTGTATTACTCTTGTTAGACTGCCTTCAAAAAACAAAACAAAACGGCCCAATCATCAAAACTAGTTTCTGAGGAGGATCTGGATCTGCTGGGCCAGTAAAACGTAAGGCAAATAAGTCACTCAGAAGGTTATAGTGACTTTTTTTTTTTGGAGGGGGAGGGAATTCCAAAGGAGTAATATTGATAGATTTTCTCGACAGACACAAGACAATCATGTGGGCTTATTATGAGGGAATTTGAAGAAACTTGATTGAAGAAACTTGAAAACTGCGTAGTGAGAGAAAGGCCAAGCAAGTTTCCCCAAGGATTTTATTTTTTTCCATCATGACAAAGTACTTGCTCATTCTTCGATGACAATGGTATTTTCTATTTGCCTTTGGAGAAAAAAATATGGGGTGATCAGGCCTCTTTATCAGATTGATTCGTCTTTATCAAAGTGAGATATAGTTTCAGAAAGAAGTATGTCTGTCTGTGTTTCTGTTAGTAGTAAGTACTACTCTAGCATTTAAAAGAAAAGACAAGTCAAAGAACAGCAGACTTAAGGGAGTTCTTTCCTCCGTTGTTTTTATTCAATACTTCTAAGTGAACAAGAGACCAAGGAGAAGGTGGAAAATCAATGCAAAAATTACTTTGTCTATCAAGTTCACCTCCAATGAGAAGGTGGAAAATCAATGCAAAAATTGCTTTGTCTATCAAGTTCACCTCCAGTCTTGTCAATACCTGTTTGGAAATAAGTGAAACAATGCAACCAGGTCAGCTTCGTGGACATGCAGCCAGTGCAACCCCTCATGGCCGCATGCTCCGAAAGTGGCCTCACACTTAGGATTGCTTTACTCTGTAGCCACTGTCTTGAATTTCTTAATAGTTCTGTCTTTAAACTTGTGTTTCTTAAGTTCAGTGCAACAGAAAATGGAATATGGGCATTGAGTGTGGAACCTCGGCTCACACATAGTCCTATATTCTGACATCTCTCTAGCTTCACAGAATGGGTTCTCAGCTGCTCATTCCCCCAGAGACTGCTACCAACTTTCACCATTTTCAGGGTCCCGGGCTTGGGTTCAGGGAGGTTGGGGTCAAGTGGCAGGGTCCTGGGCACTCATAAGGGTTTTCATTCACAACAACATGAATATCCTTGCCTAAGCAAGGAAGACACTAAGTTATAAATTTAAAACATAGTGGTGCACATGGCATACCTTTAAATAGCACTGTTAAAATAACAAATAAAGCATCAATGTTTGTCAAAAAAAAGGGAATCCTTATGAGAATGAAAACTCTAGTATTGCTGTGAGTCGTAACCAACTCTGTGGCTCTTATCAACAACAACAACAACAATATCAAAGCTAGTTAGAACTTAACCTGGGAATATCTAATAAAATCTTTACTACTTTTATACATCAAAATCTGCCTAGCCCCCAACTTTCAGATAGTACCCATTTGATATAGCTTGGATGGTTTGATGATCAGACCTTGAATAGAGGAAAATAAACATGTTTGATACAGGAAGCAAGTACAAATTGTTATAATTTGATGAACTTGACCTATACTTATGGATGTGGTAGCTCAAAATACCAATGAGAGAGAAGGAGTCTTCACATCAAGGATCAAGCCTATACCCTCAGTACATAGGATTGATAGGGATGGACAACTTAGACATTGGCTATCTAAAATGGGTGGTGGTGGTGGTGGTGGCTATAAAGACACAAAGTGGCTGGCTTATAAATTTTCAAGAGGGAGATTAGTTACAGAGCAAGCAGGCAAAGGTAGAATCCCCACTGAATTGTTTTCATCTTGTCTAGATGGGTCTAGTGAAAGGAGATGGGAATAGGATTCTTTTGATTTGATAGTGAGTAATTGTTATCATGACTAATTGTGATCGTCACAACTTTAAAGGTGGAAGTTGTGTAACAGAAGGGTGGGAGTAGTTAATCTTACATTCCAGGAACAGAGGACCCTAGGACCATTAAGAGGGAAGAGTATGAATGGGACATAGGATCTTAACCAGAGAAGCAGCGATGTCAGAGATGGAGGCAGAGGTGATGGCATGGAGAGATAGAGTAGCTGAGGACTCCAGACTCATGGAAAGAGAAAGGCTGTATGCCAGTGGGCAGAAACCTGGCTTGCAAAATGTGCCCTTTGGTTGTTTAAATGATTATATATTCCTGCGTGTTTTTGTGTACATAAAAAAAGTTTTTTCTAAGAGAAAATAGAGGCAAATATTGTTAACCGATAGTGCATGGAGGGGATTGCAATCATTGCAATGAAACAAAATACAATTGGTTGAGTGCAAAACTGATGTTCTGCTATGTAAACTATAACTCAATTCACAATGAAAGTGTTTTAAAAAATAAAACATTGTGGAGGGTCAAGAGAAAGAGAGAAAGATCATGAAAAAGGAGGAAAATTTAAAAAAGGAACTTTGTTCCTTCTTTTTGAACAAAGGACCTTACATTTCCATTTTGGGTTGGATCTCACAAATTGTGCACTTGGCCCTTCATGAGACTAGAATTGGGGAAAGAATCAAAAGAGTAGACCAGGGGAGCCAGGAGAAATAAGAGAATTAATGGGGTTTGCAGAAAAGGAACAGGTATGTAATTAGAGATTAAACGGTCAAATTTCATTATTGCTACAAATGGACCAAGGAGTTTTTTTTCAAAAATTCTTTATTTCTTTATGATTAAAAATAATATACATCATCAAATAATAAGATATATGCAAACACTGAAGATGTAAATGGAAACCTACATGCAAAGAAGTAACATAGCTCAGGGCATTAAAATGTGTCTAGAAAACATCAAAAGGTAACCACTCAGTCCAAATCTATCCCCTGCTATCTTCACAAATTTGTGAATCCAAATCTCCTGTTTATCCAGGCCTTCCTAATCATTTGGCCCCAAGTTTGCGATGTAAAATTAATTTTAAGACCATCCAAAACAATGCAGGTTAATAAACAGTGAGACAATTATTTTTATACTTCAGAGTTAGCTACCTCCAATTTTGCTAAAGGATATCTTTTGATTTCCAGCACTTCAGCCTGCCAGCCGATGACGTTGTCTAAACACATTTTCAATGTTTTCTTTTTAACAGTTAATATATTTCCAGGATGCAGGTCCATTTCTTTCTAAAAGGTTCCTAGGACACCCATTGAAAAGTCAAAAGCAATGAACTAAGAGGGATTACTATTTTGTTGGAGAAGAACGACACCCTTTGTATTGAACTGGGGAATTACAGACTGTGGTCACCCTCTGCACAGTGTCTCTTTGTCAAGTAATACATACGGGGAAATAATAATAATAACAATAATACAGATGGGAAATATTGTGCACTGTCAGATCTTGGAAACACTCAAAGGATTTTTCCTCACCAATGTCTTGTCGATGGCTTTCACATTCTGGCACCCTAAAAAAAAAAAAATAATGCATACATTTAATATAAAATGAGTGCAGTAATAATAAGGCAGGTAATCGTTTTCCCAAGGAATGTAAAGCTTGACAAATGTAAGGTTTATGATTCAAGGTAGGCTTGCCAAATCTTATGTGGCATGAGACCATTTTTATTACCTAAACAGTCCTTAACACAAAATGACTGGCACATATTTTTATTAACACAAAGAGTATATTCTTTCTGCCACATTTAATAGAGATTCAGTGGCTGAAAGCCCTCTTTTAGGATATGTCTGCAGCAAATTAAAACGCATAGTGAGGATTCACAGAATGGCATTCTCCTCACTGAGCCCTTGTCCACTCGGGCACGGTACAGTGGTGAGTTAGACTATTTAGCTTGTGAATTCTATTTATGGGGACTATTTGGATCATATGGATCATAGAAAAGGCAAACTTTGTTGCTTTCAAAACAGGGTAGGTGATAAAGAATGCAAGGTTGTTTATTACATCTGCAAGTCCATTCTTAGTCAGTTTTGAAACAGTCGCTAGTGATAACGTCACAGCATTTCTTTACTCCTACAGTGAATATTTATTGAGTGTTTATTGTGTGCCAGACATGTCACTAGGCACTGGGGATACAGCAGTGAAGACAAAAAATAAATATATATATATATATATCCCTGCCTCATGGCTCTTATATATTATTTAAACTGTAAATTACATAAGAAGTGATATGTAGGAGGTGATCGGTATTATAAAAAGTGAAATAAGAACAGAGAAAGAAAACTGGAAATATGAGTGGATAGGTAGATGTTTTAAATAAGACAGTCAGTAAAACTTAAGTAAAAACTTGAAAGTAGAATGAAGTTGCTGTTGTTGTTAAGGGTTGTCAAGTCCATTCCTACTCATTGTTGTTGTTGTTAGGTGTCATCAATTCAGTATCGACGCATAGAGACCTTACACACAGCAGAACAAAACACTGCCCGATCCTGGGCCAACCTCACTGTCATTACCACACTTGAGCCCATTGATGCTGCCACTTTGCCAATCCATCTCGCTGGAGGTCTTTCTCTTTTTCTCTGACCCTCCACCTTACCAAACATGATATCTTCCTCCAGGGACTGGTCCCTCCTGACAATATGTCTGAAGTGTGAGAGACAAAGTTTGGCCATCGTGGCCTCCAAGGAGCATTCTGGCTGCACTTCTTCCAACACAGATCTGTTGGTTCTTTTGGCAGCTCGTGGCACTTTCAATATTCTCCTCCAACACCATAACTCAAAAGCATCAATTCTTCTACAGTCTTCCTTATTCACTGTCCAGCTTTCACATGCATATGAGGTTATTGAAAATACGATGGCTTGGGTCAGGCACACCTTAGTCTTCAAGCTGACATCTTTGCTCAACACTTTAAAAAGTTCTTGTGCAGCATAGTTGCCTAGTGCAATACACATAGGGACTCTGTATAGTGTTTCCTGGTGTGGATCTGCAGGATTATGTGCATGACTGCAAGGTCAGTTTGAACAGCAACATATGTGGTTCAAACCTACCAGCCATTCTTCAGAAACCCTATACAGGTACACTATGAGCCAGAACCGACTCAACAACACTCAGTAACAACATAGGGTTTTTGAGGAGCAGTTATTGGGTTTGATCCACCAACCTTGCAACTAATATCCTAAGGTGCTTATCCTAAGGTGCCACACCAGAGAGTTAGTCATGTAGATATCTGGGGGGAGAGTATTCCACACAGAGCGGCCAGCCAGTGAATAAGACTGAATCCTGTCTGACATATTCAAAGAAGAGCAAAGAAACAAGTATGACTGGGTGGAACAAGTGAGGATGAGTAGTAGGAAATGAGGTCAGAAAGGTAACAGAGATCAGACAATGTAAGTGTTTGTTGGTCATTTTATAGTTACTAACATTTACTCTGGTGTGGTGCTATAACATAAGTACTTGATCACAACATCGGTTTGAACCACAAGGTCGGCAGTTCAAACTCACCAGCCACTCTTCAGAATCCTATGCAGGATCACTGTGAGTTGGAACAAACTTAGTGACACACAACAACAAGTATTTACTCTGACTAAATCAAAAGTCATTGAAGGGTTCTGATCTGAGCACCAGGATCTGAATGAATGTTTACAAGGATCATCCTGGCTACTTTGTTGAGAATAGCTTAGGGGGCAGGACAAGGATAGATAGGCAGCTAACTGAGACAAAGAAAGCTGATGATGGCTCCAACCAAGATGGTGGGAGTAGAGGTGGGAAGACTGCCAATGTATGTGAGGACAGGATAGAAAATGAGAGTCAAGGATGACTCCATTTCCTCAAGCAGCTGGAACAATCATATTAACATGAACATATTGTCCGGAGAGAACAGTCTCTGGAAAAGGATGTCATGCTGGGTAAGGTGGATGGTCAGAGAAAAAGAGGAAGACCCCTAACAAGATGGTTTGGCCAGGTGGCATCATTGATGGACTCAAGTGTGGCAGCGGTAGTGAGGTTGGCCCAGGATCGGACATTATTTTGTTCTGCCGTGCATGGGGTCACTATGAGTTGGTTCCAACTTGATGGCACCTGACAACAAGGCAGGACAAATTGGTCTGCAGATTGAGCAAGTTTGTTGGGGAAAGTTTGCAGTTTAGTTTTGGACAGATGGAGTTTAAAATGTCTCTTAGATGTCCCAATGATTTTGCACTGCAGGTACATGTGGGGGTCAACTTTATACTTAGTAAGTTTCTAAAAGATTCTTTTTTCTCTTCAGAGTTTCCTACCTCCATGAAAGACATGATCTTTTCCCCTGTAGTCCAGACCACCAATACTTGGGTTCTTCTTCTTCCTCAGCTGCCATATTTCCAACCACTACCGCTAACTCTCATGGGCCTTATCTTCTTAATGTACCAGGTGGCAATTAAAGATCAATTTATTTCTATTTCCTTCCTAACTCTCCTATACCCACTGCATTGAGTCAATTCTAAATCGGAGTGACTCGATAGGAACCCTAAGGTTTCCAAGGTTGCAAATCTTTATAGAAACAGACTGCCTCATCTTTCTTCTATTGAGTAGCTGGTAGGTTTGAATGTCCAAACTTTCAGCTAGTAGCCCTAAATTTGACCCAGCAGAGCTCCTCTTAATTCTTCTATAAAAGCCCTGGGAGTCTTGATGTGTCACAGTAGGATAATCACTGGATTACTCACCACAATAACTGGCAGTTCAAACTCACCATCCACTCCTTGGACACTCTATACAGTGTCACTCTGGGTTGGAACTGACTCAATAACACTTAATAACAACAACAACAATCATTGTAAATATACATAAAGTACCATGGCGTGCCAGAAGAACAAACAAATATGTCTTGGAGGAAATGCAACCACAATGCTCCTTAGAACCAAGGTTTTTGAGAGTTTTTCTCTTGTGCTTTGGACATGATGTCAGGAGTAACTGATCCCTGGAGAAGGACATCATGGGTGGTTAAGTAGAGGGTCAGCAAAACTGAGGAAGATCCCCCCACCAATGAGATGTAGTGACACAGTGGCAGCAACAATGGGCTCAAATGTAACAACAATTGTGAGGATGGCGCAACACTGGGCAGTGTTTCATTCTATTGTGCATAGGTTCCTTATGAGTTGAAGTCAACCCAACATCATATAACAGCATGTTCCATCATTAACATTATTTTATCATGATGATTTATTTTATCGTGATTATTTGTGAAGCAAAATCACACGTAAAATCCAAATAAGTAAAATACATAAAAACAAAACGGAACTAACTTAAGACAGCTTAGACAGCAAAAGGGGTACCAAAATGCTCTAAGGAGTCTGGTCCATGCAGTTGATTTAGTGTTGGACTGCTAACTGAAATGTCAACAGTTTGGACCCACCAGTCGCTCTATAGGGGAAAGATGAGGCAGTCTGCTTTTGTAAAGATTTAGAGCCTCAGAAACCTATAAGGTAGTACTACTCTGTCCTATAGAGTCACTGTCTGCCAGAATCGACTCAACTACAGTGGGGGGGGGGGTTGGGTTTTGACAGCTGCTCTAGGTTCTAACCAGTTGCCATACAGTTGATTTTGATTCATAGTGACACCAAGCGTGCCAGAATAGAACTGTGCACCAGAAAGTTTTCAATGACCAATTTTTCAGAATCAGATCACCAGGTCTTTCTTCTGAGACATCTCTGAATAAATTGGAACCTCCAACTGGGCCCACAAGGTACTTGTACCACTAAGGAACTCCCTAGATTCCATGGAGACAGCTTAAACGCTACTGGAAAAAGACAGAAAATAGCTATGAGAATGGCAAGTCTTACCACTGAGGGCCATAGCCAAATGGAATTCTTCTTTTAGTATCTCCAGGACATTTTGGACACCTTTCTCTCCCTAAGCAAGTCAAAGATACAAAAGTAAGTTTTACTTATTTCTTATATCTCACTGTCAAATGGTCCTGATTTAGAGATTTCTTTCTTATTCAGTTACCTGGGAAGCCAAGCCCCATATTATTGGTCTCCCTACAAACACAGCCTTGGCCCCCAGAGCCAGAGCTTTGAGAACATCTGTGCCTTTCCGCACCCCGCCGTCCAGGAAAACTTCCACCTTCCCTTCCACAGCCTCCACAATTTCTGGCAGGGCATCAATCTGTGGAGACAAGATGGGAAATGATGTGGTACTATTTGTGTTGAATTGTTATCCATCTCAACCTCCAAAGGTCACTGTCCATTCAGCATGGCCTTTGAATGAAAAAGCTTGGAATCAACAGTAAAATTACTTCCTTCTGAACAAAAGAGAAAGAAAGATGAGTAATTAAAATAAAATCAATTAAATTGGTTTTTCTTTCAAACCCCAAGAGTTTTTTTTTAAGACATTTTAAACACAATTCTAAAACTCTAAATCATCTTTTAACAAATAAGAGTAAATGAAGTATCATATTCATTTAATTTATTCTCTTAATAATATTTACTTATTACAAATCATTCATGCTAGCTAAGATGCTTATATTTGTTATTGTTGTTATTAAGTGCTATAGAGTCATTTCCAACTCATAGCCACACTGTATAGGGTTTCTTATGAGCAACTGGTGGGTTTGAACCACCAACCTTGCAGCTAACAGTGCAGAGCTTATCCTACAGTGCCACAAGTGGAATATAAAAATGCAAACAAAGCTAGTGATGAAAAACAGTCTCTGATTTTCCCCATCTAACATATTTGGCATCTTGTCATACATTATATAACACTCCATTAAAATAGTTTTAATGCTTTTAAAGAAATATGACCATGTGCATCTTGAAGATTCTCATTTTTATGGGCAATAGATGATGGACATGGGTTAGCAAGAAAGAATGTGAACCAGGTGAGGTTCATCTCGTGGTTACATTAATGTTCCAGATCTCTCAATCCTCTGTAAGCCCATCATACCCTTTCCAGGGCAACTTCGTAGGTCCTCCCACTAAGAGGGGTAGAGTGTGCATTTACCAATAATTTGACTTTGACCTTGGCCATGATGACCTACTCTGCCCATTAGCATATTAGCGGAAGTGGCAGAGTGCCATTTCTGAGTCTATGTCTTAAGCAGCTTCATGTATTTCTACTTGCTCTTTTCCACTTCTGTTTTCCCTTCAGCTTGGGCCCCAGGATAAATATTCAGGAAGTAGGGTTCTCTAAGCCAAGCCCAGCTGGACCTGAAACTTGGAGCAGAGCTACATAGCTGGTAGCAAGCCCAAATCTCTAGACCCACAGTTGACCTAAATTTTCATGAGAATAAATGACTACTGATTTAGGTTGAGTTTGGGATATTTTGTTGTATAGCATCAGGAGGCAATAGCTAACATATAGTTCACTACTTTGATATGAATCTTTGATTTGAGAATAGAAATAATTCCCAAGGTGACCTGTAGCACAAAATTTCTAAAATACTCATCCCAAAATATTTAAATCTAAAATTAAGTCCAATTCCCATTGAAAACACACACTGAAGAAGCCACCATGCACTCATGTGCAGTTTTTCCAGAAATAATTGTGCTGAATATATTCAAAGACATCCCCCACTTCTTCCCTAAAACTTTGGAAGCTCACATTAAAGAGAGTTTTGTGTAAAGGCTGAAGACCAAACACAGCTACAAATTTGAAGGAAGTGAAGGCAATCTTTGGCATGTGGCCTCTGAATGTTTGGCAGGTAATGTGATTTTCCCCTTTTGACTTTTCTGTCTTGCCAAACATGCTTTGGATCCATTTACATATGTCCCTTTAACTATACATAGTCCTCTTTTTACATTCAGCAAATTACATCAACATATAAATGCTACAATTTCCACATAATGATGCAAGCTATAATTAAGTGTATTTCCCCATGTGAAACCAGAACCAAAGAAAAATATGAGCTAGATAGGGTTCAATACACATTTTCAAAGTCACGCAAATCAAATCTCTTCAGGTTGTTTCCAATGCCTAACCAAGTCTAACGGTGAACTAATAAAAATACTTAAAATGTGAATTCAGATTGGTGTGTCTTGTGTCTGTCGAAAAGAATGTTTTTCCTAGTGCTGAGTATGCCCATGCTCTTCTTTATCTGTCTGTACCCACAGTTTTACTAGGCTTATCTCTTTTTATACAGTATAATTCTGATCATAACAAATTAAATAAACAAATATCGTTATACAAACTCTCTATTTTATGGCCCTGTTATGTTTCCTTCATTCCAGCGTTCTAATCATCTGAGACCATTCATATCAACTTTTCTTCCCTGAGTACCTCTTTATACACCTAATTGCCTATTTAAGTCCAGTGGAGTTGACCTTTAGGAACATATGATGAGACCTTAATGTGGTGTTGCTCATTCATTGATTTTTCAACCATATCATTATCAAGGCACTATGTCAGACAGAAAAGAATCTCACAGGGATGTGACTCACTCATCCAGAAAGTTACCTTTCTCCAAAACATGTACTCATTCTGAGCTCTCATGCTTCTACCTTCCTAGCATGAATTTTTAAATTTGACTTTAGACATGAAACACTTTGCTCAAAGCAAAGCAGCTGAACATAAATAAAAGCAGATAAAGCCAGAACTTCTTGAGTTAAAGGTGAGAGGAGCCGAATCCAGACCACTGCCTATAATTCCTCCTCTGCATCGCTGTCCCATCCCACACATTGCCCACCAGGCAGCCTTGAGAAACCTCTACTAAGCATACTTAGAAAAGCACTGGTGCAAATAGGCTTGATCATTTGCAAAAATGACTGCAACTATTTCCCTCCCTGTCTTTATATTTTGCAAAGTGACATTTCATATCTTCCTATCACCATAAGAAGAAAGTGAAGCAAGCCTTGTGACTTGCTTTTATCAATAAAAGACAAGAAATTGCCAGTGGGCCAATTCTGAATCTACCTCTAAACAGTCCTTGCCTGCTTTTACTTTCTCTTTAGAAGACCTGCCACCTAAAGATAAAGAGCCCAGCTCACTTGCTGGAACCTGTAAAATGATGTAGAGCCATCCCTGCTGAGGTCATCCTATAACATTCCTAGTAAACCCAACCTTAACCACGGACACATATGAACAGCCCCAGCCAAGACCAGAAAACCCTCTTAATAGCTGCCAGCCCAAATTGACAATCAGCATCATTGTAAAATGATTAAATGATTCTGTTGATGTTGAAAATAGACCCAGCAAAACATACACCAATTTAACAGTTCATATGTCTGATCTCCTCGAAATTTAAAGTAAAAGTTTCTACTTAAAACCAAATGGCCACCACTTGTCTGTCAGTTCGTAGTACTGTTGTGGCTTGTGAGTTTTTGAGATTCTGAGGGCTATGCCACCGGTATTTTAACTATCAGCAGTGTCACCCATGGTAGACAGGTTTCAGATGAGCTTCCAGACAAAGACAGACTAGGAAGAAAGAGTGACAAACTACTTGTGAATATTTAGTCACTGACAACCTTATGAATAGCAGAGGAACACTATCAGATATAGTGCCGAAAAAGAGCCCCTCAGGTTGGAAGGCACTCAAAATGTGACTGGGGAATAGCTGCCTCCTCAAAGTAGAGTTGACCAGGATGATGTGAATGGAGTAAAGTCTGTGGAAGAAAAGCCATCAGGACCTTCATTTGCTGATGGGGCACAACTCAAAATGAAGAGAAACAGCTGTAAACAACCATTGAAAATCGGAACATAGAATATACAAAGCATGGATCTGGGAAAATTGGAAGTTGTCAAAAATGAAATCGAACGCATAAACTTTGATATCTTAGGCATTAGTGAGCTGAAATGGACTGGTATTGGCCATTTGAATCTGACAACCACATGGTTTACTATGCCAGGAATGACAAATTGAAGAGGAATGGTGTTGCATTCATCATCAAAAAGAACACATCCAGATCAATCATGAGGTACAACACTGTCTGTGACAGGATAATATCCATGTGCCTACAGGGAAGACCAGTTAATACCACTGTTATTCAAACTTATGCACCAACCACTAAAGCCAGTGAGGATGAGACAGAAGAATTCTACCAACTTCTTCAATCAAGATGTATTGATCATTACTGGTGATTGGAATGCAAAGGTTGGGAACAAACAGGAAAGATCAGTAGTTGGAAAATATGGCCTTGGTGATAGAAATCATGCTGGAGATCACATGATAGAATTCTGCAAAATCAATGATTTGTTCATTTCAAATACCTTCTTTAGACAGCAAAGGAGATGACAATACACATGGACCTCACCAGATGGAATACACAGAAATCAAAGTGACTACATCTGCAGAAAGAGACAATGGAAAAGCCCCATATCATCAGTGAAAACAAGGCCAGGGGCAGACTGTGGAATAGACCATCAATTACTCATATGCAAATTCAAATTGAAGCTGAAGAGAATGAACATGAGTCCACGAGAGCCAAAATATAACCTTGAATTTATCCCACCTGAATTTAGAGATCATCTGAAGAACAGATTTGATACATTAAAGACTAAAGACCGAGGACCAGAAGAGTTGTGGGATGACATCAGAACATCATACAGGAAGAAAGCAAAAAGTCATTGAAAAGAAAAAGAAAAAAAGTCATTGAGAAGACAAGAAAGAAGTAAAAGGTCAAAATGGATGTCAGGAGAGACACTGAAACTTGCTCTACAGCATAGAGATGCTAAAGCAAATGGAAGAAATGAGGAGGTCCAAGAGCTGAACAGAAAATTTCAAAGATCAGCTCAAGAAGATAAAGCCAAATATTACAACAAAATGTGCAAAGATCTGGAATCAGAAAACCATGTATATGAAGTAACTAGAAAAGGCAACAGAAGAGAGACCAAAGTTCATTAGTGGTTACCAGGGACTAAAGGCATGGGGAATTGGGAGTTAACTATTAAATGGCATTGAATTTTTGTTTGGGGTGATGAAAATCTTTTATCACTGGAAATTGATAGTGCTGATACTCATCCAACATAGTAAATGTAATCAATGTCATTGGATTACACACTTAAACTAGTTATAATGACAATCTAATTTTTTATATATATACCTAATACATATAGAGTCCTGGTGTGGGACTGGAGGATAAGCACTAGAATGCAAGGTCAATTTGAACCACAAGGTCAGTGGTTCTAACCCACCAGCCACTCCTTGGAAATGCTATACAGGGTCACTGGTATGG